TTCGTTCAAGAGGTTGTGTTGTGTACTTTCCCCTGTTCCGTATATCATATTCCCGTGCGCGTCATTCTGTTGGTTGTACAAGGTTTCGTACCTTTTGTCTCCTCACTTTTGTTAACCCTTAGTGTGTCCTTTTCTGTTCATGTGGTTTGTCCTTCTTCTGCTGTATCTTAATCATATCGTATTTGAAATGTGTAAGCACTTAAGAGTGTTACACAAATAAAGCGTTAACAAAAAAAGATGATGCAAAGATGAAATATCTTTATTCGTTGCCATCTTAATCGAACTTTTTATATTTATCTGAAAGAGACAATTTAAGAATATTCTATAAAATAGTGCACAGAAAATATTATAAATCAAAAAAAACAAACTTACGACATTTTTCAGCCATTAATGTAAGAAAAATAGGAAAGAAACAATGACGTCATACACTTTTAACTTGCAAAATATTGTGTAATTACATTATTGAGTCATTTCTTATGACATATTTATATAAATGCTAATAGACTACCTTTTGATTTTCAACGTTAATGAATTTTAGTACTGAAATACTCTCAAGATATACATACGTTGGGGTAAAAAGCGAATTCGGAATATCGCCCATTGGACTGATTTATTTTCTATTGTATACTGTTTGGTTGCAATTACATATGCACTTATTCTTAAAACTTTTGCAATACAACAGATAATATTTATTTGAAGCAAAATAATTCATATATAACAAACTAAAAGTTTATTTTACTACTAAATATGCATGTGCCGATGAATATTGTTATTGGCGGTTAGAAGAAGTACGTAGAGGAGTTTCTTGACGATTGTTTTGCAAAACTGATATTTGAATAGTTCTGCCTTCATGTATATGAGCAACATGTCTATTCATAGGTAAATGACGAGTTATGATTTTGAAGAGTTCTTTACGAAAAACGACACCAGTCAATGTATATAGGTAGAAACTACTTGCATGAGCAAAATACCTCATTACACCTACTATTTGAGATGCTAAATTCTCTTGAGCAATGCGAAGTGTATCCTTAGACACATTTGCAGTAAATGAAACATATAAACGACAGATTGAATAGGGTAAAGTAGATATTATGATGATAAACACTTGAGCAGTTAACATGCGCAACAGTTGACTATCTGTACGTCTGCCAATTCGATTATTTCCACCAACTACTGGATGTATTAGACGACGTTGACGAATATTTTTTAGTGTAAGAGAACCAAAAAAAATCATCAGAAAAGATGGACAAAGTGAGTAAAAAGTCGTATGCCAAATTGTATTGAAGTTACGGTAGATACCCTTTTGAGCGTTGCACGATGGAACGATGTTACCATATTGATTGGTTATATAACTTATTTCGTAATAAACTATCATATGACTGTACAAAATTGCCATTGCAACGATAATGATGCCAATCGATATTCGTGCTGTTTTCAATGAACTCCATCTACGAATACTTACATTTGTTGAACTATGAAGAAAACGATCAACACATGCAAATGCAATCAGCCAACAAGAGATGGGACGTACCATAAAGAAAGTAAAGTTTTCTATTTTGCATAGTCCAATATTGTAATCAGTTTGATCGATACCGAAAGCATTGGCAAGAATGCGTACAGGTATTACAATGAATACAATAAATAAATTGAAACATGTTGATGATAAAAAATAAAGTGTACATGGTTCTCGGCGTAGTGTAGGACGAGTAAAAACAAGTAAATTGAGCAACTGTCCAACGACACCTAGTACAAAATTGATAATAGATACCACAAGTACAATTGCTGATGCTGCTGCATTCAATTGATTGATTGTAGTATTGATAGTAGACATATTAATATTAATGTAATTATTATCAATTCAGTGTGTATTTTGTGATAATAATCTAAAATAAATGCTACTTGTCTCTATAAATCCTGTGATTAAATTGTTGTATGAAATTTTACATACATAGGAAAAATTGGATTTTGTCACATACTATTTTACAGGAGACTCAATAAAAGACCTTTAGAGACATATATTTATGAATACAAAGCTTGAACATGTTACAAGAAAGAAATAGAAATCTTAATTGAAAAGCAAAATTATGATGATAATATTAGAAGACATCATGTCAAAAGAAGAAAGATTAGCGACTTATCATAAAACTAAATTCATGATAAAAAGTTCTCAAAAAAAGATTTATTTGATTTTGTTCGCTCCGTACACTAGTGATTATTATGACAAGTTAAATCTTCTTTCTAGCTTTACATTTCTATAATTTTACTGTAGAGATAGAATTTTATTTGGCTATTCTATCTTTGAATACAATAAATATTTAATTCATTTTCCTTAAAAGAAATAAAAAGGATTGAATAAAACAGTTCTTCCAGTATAAATATATCTGATATGGAAAATAAACTATATTATGAATCTAAGTTGAGTTTACAAGTAAATGTAGCGTTCAATTTATACCAATCTAATTAAAATCGATGACGTATGGTTACAAAGATGATCCGATGATTATAATATGAGTACGTAGTCAACTATGGTATTTTTTGTCCTGAAAAATTACGATTAATTTTTATAATTTCTAGATGGCATTTTCTCAGCTTAAGTTTTCTTATTGCATGAACTAGATGAGGGATTAACAGACTGTCATTTTTTGGTGCATACTCAATTCCTTCTTTTCTTCATAAAAATAAATCGAAGAGAAATAATTATATAAATTGAATCAGACCTTTTGGAAAAATCTTTAAAGACTGACAGTGAGAGTTAGTTGCACATACAATGACAGATCAAGATAAATACAATGATTGTATTTCTTCTAGATATATTCTAAAATATGTAATCATTACTATGGTTTCCAATTATACATTTATCTAGTTCAATGAAATCTTGAGGATGTTGATCTTCTTGTCATCCACACCCTCGTTTTTTTTGTCATATCTATATATGGATGCTGCACACAATATTCTTAGATAATTAACTTTTATTTAAATAGATATACTTCATTTCCATTGTGTGAAAGGTGTACAAACTTTCTTGAAAAAAAAACAACAACTAATGTTCAGTTCTTCTGAAGTTTGATGTCAAGAGGTTGCAGACTATGGCTGTCGATACATAAGCATGAGTGGTCGGCATGGTGCAGGTGTTCGAAAAACTGGTCGAGGCGAAGGTGAGAGAATCAACGAATGTGGTGAAAATCCACGGTAAGCAGGTGCACCTCGAGGTGAAAAATACGGACGTTGATTGGGACGTAAGTAACGGAGCTGTTGATGTTGAGGATCACTTGTTCCAGGCAGCGTCATTCCCGAGGACAGCTGCAAGGTTGGTTCATTGTATACTTCACCAAATGTTCCTAACTGGGCTTGGTGAAGCATCATTTGTAATTCATAGTCTGATGGGTAATTATTTCTCACTCCTTTCAATTGTGTGACGACTCGACATAGAGTTTCTGCATATCTTTTTGTCATATCGAAGCGTGTCGGATCAATATCTCTGTCGTTGAGTAAGTTGAATTTCAATTCGATTTTCGGTTCGACATTCTCCGTATAATACATAGCTTGATGTTCATCAGTGATTAGACGTGTGTGAGAAGCTAAATCTGGATTGCTGTATTTATTGTATACAATTGTCATCGTGATCATACGTTCGGCATACCCATCAGCTGCTCTAAGTGTTCGTTTAATCCGCCGGATCAGTTTTCTCTTTCGACAACACCAACAACGACAATCATAACACACTGTGTCACAAAAACGAGTACGACAATTTTCTTTTGATTCAGGGATAGGTAGCTCTTCTGTTAAGTACTTTACCGTTCGATTTGCAGGAATATCAGGTGTATGTATTGTGTTGGATGTGAACGCAGTCACTTGATTGCTATTCTTACAACAACGATCACAGCAGTTCTCGCTGATAAAGTATTGATCATCAATGTCTGCGTGAGCTTCACCACCGATCTGTTTTTCGAAATGGCACTTGTAGCTGATGTGCATGACATCTTCCAGTGGAATCATGACGACTTCTTCTTCAGCACTAGCTTGTGCTTGTTCAGGTGACTGTTGAAAATCTTGATAAGTCTGATATTCATTGTTTTTATCGGCAATCAGCGTCTGATTATTATTATTATTCCTACCATCTTGAAATAGCATGTGACGATTTATATGTATCGATAGCATGGGACAAGTAAACTTGCCCATCGCCGTTTGAACACCTAATAGAAAAACAATGAATCGAGTCCAATCATATGTAGATGATGTAATAACAAAAGAAATTTGAGTCAGATTTTGAGTGTGAAAAAGTGATAAAGAATATTTATTGGATTGATTCACTTTGCATCAAAATGGTCTGCCATTCTGATGAAATTTTTCCACAGAAAATAAGCAAACGTGCTCAAAATAAAGTTCTGACCTTTTAGTGACATACTTTGTTCAGAACAATCTTTGAATTTCAGTAGTCTATGTTTTAACATTCATTAGTAACCATAAATAAATCTAATAAGCTTAATCGAAATTGATTCTGACTAGACGTTTGAATCATAATCATACCCTGTGTACTATCTCTAGAGAAATTTCGACGAGTAATACTATCAAGTCACATTTCGGTCTTTTCATTCTTAAATTTTACATACCTGGAAATAAATGAGCAAAACCATATGGTACGGCTTCTCCCTGCATGTTTGCTTTTAAACGGTCAGCATCTATTTGTTGCTGATATTGATTTGGTTTACAGCAACGTCTCCACTTGGATCTTTGCTTTGCTTCGCTCATCCTTGAAAATAACACGAACAATCACTTCAAAGACAACAGCGTGCTTTTTCAAAAATTAAATCTGACAAAACTGTTTCGATTTGATGAATTTTGCTGTGAATCATGACATTTTCTTTTCTCACTAAAACGTTGTTGCTACGTTTTTGCCTCCTAACGATATATTTCTTTCTTACACAACGAATCAGCAAAAAAAATTTGTACATTCTTTTTTTTCAAAACGAGCCGAGTATTATAATCAGCACGCGTACCCTAAAGAAAACTAGATTAAAACTTGTACATGCGTATAATATAAAAGAAATAATAAAATTTGTTGATATATTCACTAAAAGTTTATAAATCCAAACAAAAACATATAAGAGCAAACGATGAAAACCAACAACACAGAGGAACCCATATAAAAATCAATTCGATAATCCTATCCATGAATTACAATAGCAGAAGCATAGAATACTTTACCATGCTGTAAAAAAAACAAAAGAAAAAAAAAGTAACGAAGAACATCATTACTGCTTGCACCGTTACTACTACAGAGTATACAAAATTCAATAAGCAAGTTTTGTCAACTACGTAAGAATGTACAGAAAAGAAAAACAAATCATTTAACTATACTATGAAATACAAAAAAGAAAAGATATAAAACATCATACATATCTAAGCAATAATAATAAATATTCTTAACGATTGAATCATGATAATAAAAGACGACACTGTACCACATCTTATTCATCTTTAAGTTGTTATGATGATTTACTTTATAGAATAAAGCTGTTGATAAATTATAGTTGTTACTTCTTTATTTGTTCGATCTTCTTATCTCACCATAAATAAAACAAAGAAAAAAACATTCATTGTTATTTATCTTCTATTTTGAAACATCATCTATTCATACTGCAATATTGACAATGCTTTTTCGTCTTCTAAAGAAGAGATAAGCAAAGAGTGAAAGACGAAAAAAAGAAACAAAAGGCAAAATTATAAAGTCTTCTCGATTGAGTATAGATTTTTCGATTTTTGAAACTGTTTTATCACAATAATTCCATCCAATTATTCAGTTACTTAATATTTATATTTGAAGAATAAATTTTAATGCTTTGATATCAAAAACACGACATGTAAAGTTTTGTTATCATTCAATAGAATGCTATTCTCTCTTTTTGGTAAGATGATATCTTAAATTTACACGTTATCTTCCTAAAGTAATGTGACTGTGTGAATATGATATAAATATATATCCAGACATTTTCGTTATTTCATTACATTCGACGACGACAACGACAACAATGAAAGCAGTGATCATCTTTTGTGTTTTGTTTGCTGGTGCATCTTGTGTACCCATGCTTAATGAGTACCGAAGTAATGAATGGACACTTTTTAAACAAGTTCATGGAAAACAATACGAATCGATGAAAGAAGAATTAACTCGGTATGCCATAATAAATTTTCGTTTGAAAACATCGAGAGTTACATGATCTATTCTTTTTTTTTACACAGACGAAGTATTTGGGAGAAAAATGTTGCCAAAATACAACAACATAACCTCGAAGCTGATTTAGGCATTCATACATATACATTAGGAATGAATCGATTTGGTGATATGGTATGTTATTTTTCTTTATGAATATGATAAT